ACACAAACGAAACAAAATTAATAAATTTGCAAATAATTAGTTATATCTTCTTAGCATTGTCAGTAATATTTTGTCTAACGCATATATTACTGCATGGACTTCTGTCTGTTTTTTATCGGCTCTTGAACGACTCGATTAACCTTGATGGGAACAGAGCATTTCGCTCTGGTCTCTTTCTTATACTAAAACCGGAGGCACATAATATTATTTCTGCATAGTTTTCAGTGGCCATTTAATACGCAGATCACTTATTTGTAACTTATCGAAATTTACTCCAGTTCGTTACAGCACTAAAGAATTGTAGCTATGAGAACTATTCATTTCAGCTCTATTTTTCCATACATTACGCACTATTTCAACATTGGGAAGTAAATCACAGGCGGCTTTTCAGTAGTCGAGTGGTGCGGTTTCTTTAACTGTATCGGTGACGGAAATTCAATTTCGACAATTTTGTTGTTTGAGTTTTGTCAAGCCGGCAGTGCAAAAAATAGCTTAACAAAACTCAAACAACAACATTGATGCTGCCATAAGGACCAGTTATCACCTGTTACAGCCGATTTGTTCTGGTGTGATCAGAAAAAAAGTCAGGCAAATGGCTACAAAAATCCATTTTTTTTCTTTTTACTTTGAATGCATTAGTGCAAGACAAAGATTGCGAAGGAGAAAGCTCATTCAACGGCTTTATGGGAGCTGCGCGAGCGTGCCAGTTAGAGTAAAAAAAAAAAAAACATGCCTTACAGCTCAAAGAGATTGATAACTTGACAGCTTCTGTTTGAGTTTTGCAGACTTAAGGTTAAAAGTACTAAAACTATATTTCCTCAGGTACGCAACAGGAACGAAAGGCGGCCCTTGCGAAATGGTAAAAAAGGGATGCATTTAAAATGTAAAGAAAAGCGTTTACTTTCTTTTTCCTTCTCTTTTCTTCTGAAATCAGTAAGCAACAAATAAGTTTGACCAACAAAGAACCATTCGCCCCATTCACAATCCCAATTAGCAGGAAGAAATGCAGTAGAATAAATATTACATGAGTCTGCGAACCTCAGTGAAATGTCCCCTGTTTCATATCTTCAAGCACTATCACGTCCAAAACTCATGTCAAAAACAGGCAATTTACAGAGATTGCTAAAAAATTTTCCCATACTTACTTTTTTGTAGAAAACTACTTTTGATGTCCTTTCAGAACTGAGTTGTTGGCGATACGTACTGAACGTAATCAAATCTTTCCCCGACTTTTGATGGGGAAAGCTATTAAATCAACAATGCTTTGTGAGACTACGGATGTAAAGTGATCGAACTCTTGACTCTTCTCAATTTATCAAAGCTTTTGGATACAAAAGAACCACTCATATTAGAAGTATCGCTCAAAACCAATTAAAGGAATTTTCCGGAGAAAGGACAAACATTGTAATAGTTCACACTTTAGCATGCTAAATCCCCGACCCCTTGATATTAAAATTGGCGAAAAACAGATATTGTTCCGGATTTTATTTTATTGGACTAACTTGGGCAGCCAACAAGCTTAATGAAAGGATTTCGAGATTTTATTCCTTTCTTTCCGTAGCATTAAATATGCTCGTCTGGACACTTAAGAAAGTACTAGAGAGAAGCCGAGCAAGACGAACCGCGTTTCAATTTTCTTAAAGACTCCGTGCGTATTGTCGTAAGCTTTAAGACGTCATAATTTTACATTTTCAGGAAGTATAAAGTAATAGAATGAGAGAAAAGTGAAGCCGATGATATAAAAACTGGTCGAGACAACTGGCGGCCGTTTCTTTACCTGACTTTTTCACCCTCTTTATTTATCTTCAGGTGATTGGGAAAGGAGAGAGGGGGGAGGGGAGGGAGAGGGGCAACAGACGTTTGTCCACTCATGCATAAGAAGACAAGTCATGCCCATTTTCGATTGCTGTTACCTAGTAACGATATCACCTGCTTTACAGTCAAGAACTTCCAACTCAAAAACAAGCAAATTTGTTATTATTCATTTGTGATTTCACTTTTTTTAAGGACTGAAACAACTTTTTTTTTATTTTTGAGAGAGGTAAACTATCTTCCTCGATCAAAAGAAGGCAAAAAGGGGCTTCTGCTTGAAGGGTGGGAAGACTGCGGCTCGTTCGTGGGAAGGCTGTGGCTGGGAGCTTCAGTAACAACGACCGTGACGGCTACGAAAACGTCACTTAAGAAAACTGAATTCGCGCTTCTTCAAACTTTATCGCGCTTATTCCATCTCGTTCAATTCTTCAAATATAGGCACATTTTTTCTGGAGTTAAATTCTAAAAGACTGTATCAAAGTTCATGAAAAGAAAAAGAAAGTCTTTGTCTTGTGCTCACGTCCTGCACAAGACGTGAAATTAGGAAGTTTCACATCGTGGTCGTGCAGTGACGGCAATGAAATTTACAAAAAAACCGTCATGCACGAGCAAAGCTGTTGTTTTGCCAATCTAAAGGTGATGCTACACGGGACGATTCGCAACGGCGATTTTTAGGGCAGGTAGTGTCACACAGCTGTTGAATTAAACTGAACTGACAACTACTTTATTTAGAGATTACATGCAAGGTACACCGGTCATACACCATTGAAATTACAGCAATATCATTATAGCTATGACAATACTGAACATAGTAAATGGAGGAAGGTAATAATAATATACACCAGTACATAAATTTGACTACTGTAAATTTTTAACCTGCGAATTTACAAATTAAAACTGACATTGGCTAAAATTAACAACTACTGATAAGAATTATTGCAGCTAAGCTGGTCAAAACGCTAAACGTCGCGTGTTCTGCTGCTCTGAGACAACAATTACTAAACTGTAAAATACCTACTAATTTACGCTAACGATCTAATATGAAATTTTAAACAACTATACCACGTGGGCAAGATAGACCAATTTTCAGCCTGTTCGGATAACCAATCAGAACTCAGAATTCGCTTCATCTCACTCGCTCGAGGAGCTCCCCGATCATGTCATAATATTATATAAATGGTTTTCACTGTGACGTCATCAAATTGTAAAGTCAAAATAGCGAGGTTTTACGAATTCTTATTTACACTGGGTTGAAGATCAACAAAAAGTAAATCTTTGTACAAGTTTCCATTTCCGTAGCATGTTTCATTTCGAAAATACAGCAAATTTGAACTTCGGAGTTTTCACAGTACGTGACACGAAAATAGGAAGGCCGTCTCGTTGAAAAACAGTCTCTCCTCTTGATTTTCAGCAGTATAACCACTTCAAGTATTAGGAGATATGTTTATGTGTACGTATGCTAGTTCTCGAGTGAAAAGAAATAGGTATTATAGACAAAGTGAACTCCAGTTTTTTTTGTTGATTTCCGGCAGCAATATAGGTGCACCAAAACGGTGCACCAATATGGCGTCTCCATACAAAGCTCTACAAAGGTGCGTGAAACATTTCGGCCAATAACTCAGAAACTGTGGGTCACAAAGACCTGAGACTTGGACAATTTGTTTATTTATTAGTCTTTTATAACATTTCATTTTCTTGGCCTCTTCCACTGGACGGTTTTCAATTTAATTTTTTGTTGCGTGACAGTGAAAACGATCTATATACTAATATAGGGAGTTTTTGAGCGACGCATGTCAACCTTTCTATATGACATGACGCTACCTAATTTGCATTCCAAGTGTCTTTTCTCTCATAGAGACGATTTCCCAAAACATTTGGTCAAAATCACAGCCCAAGATTGCAAACTGAGTCCACTTCCAGTTGACGTGTGTCGCTCAGAAACGTCGTTGCTTAAAATCCCTAACAAGTAGCCTGCGAACAGCAGACGCATTTCCGGTCGTCGCTTCTCTTACTAACAAGGAGCTATGTTTAAACTGCACCCTTTTTTATAAGAATTCATTTTATAAGAATATCTGCGCTGAAATCTGCGAAATTTTAAGTACATTTTAAGAATAAACCCGAGGCTGAGATTTTCAAAAGGATATAATTTTGTGTGTTGAAAATCTGTAAATATAATACAATTTATGTTTTTCACTTATTTCTTTCTCTAAAAGGCAAAACTAGCCAACAAAACGAAAAAAAACCTGCACTAACTATAAGCTCGCTATAACCTGTCGTTGTCTTTGCTGTTGGCAATGCTCAGTTAGGTTTCCAGTCGTTTTGATACACACAGGGGCACCCAACGACTGTTTTCTGTAAATTATCTGTTCGGAGAAGCAGATACTGCCGAGATTTTTCTATTACTTCGGAGGAAGGTTAAATTTTCCATTCATGTACAATTTTCGAAGCATATCTCATAAATTCCCAAATCTTTTCCGCAGTTTGATTTTTCACATTTTACAACCCAGGTTAGGCTATTTTTCGTAGGAAAAAGGAAACCTCAAATTTTCGGGTTCAAAAATGTGATGGAGAGAGGAATGAAAAAAATTTTCTCTTTCGTAATGCACTAAATTGTATCTAAAATTTTAGGGAAATAATACTGAAGCCCTTGTAATTTAAAAAAGACTCAAGTTCCCCTCGGATTACCGAACAGACACAAATTTTTATAGCGCCGCTTAGAATGCATTCTAGAGGTCTAGAAATGCTCTGGATAGCCTACAATTCAAAGTGTTTTCAATGAATTTGGGAGGAAATCGTCTTTGGGTGCTCCTGTACAAAGTCGTTTCGGCACAAGTCGTTTCGACACAAGTTTTTTCAGTCGAGTTGTAAAAATTTTCACGTCCTTTGCTTATAGAACGAAGAATATCGGCCCAAAATGTTTTCTTGTTCACGGGCAAACTGTACTTTGAAGTGATCGAAACCTTTGTGTAATTTCGCTGCTTGAGTTCGTGCGGCTGAAACGGTCGAAACGACTTGTATGATCGAAACGACCGGTTATCCTGAGTTAAAGTCACTAAGAACGGAACTAGTTTGTTGCTTTTCAATATTACAATATTTGTCGGCCACTGTTCTTATTGTACCTATTATACATCTAGCCGACTTAAAAGTTAGAACCCTTAGCGACACTCAAAAAATCAAGTATTTCAGTTCTAGTACTTTTGTACGAAGTTCACCTGGTCCGTTTCTCTCTGATTCAGAAGTTTTTTAATGGGGCCAAGGTATTCGTAGCCAAACATTTCAAAGTCACTGCGGTACAGTTCTCCAATTCTTTTGATAACATCAACCGGGACTTTGGAATAGTAATTCACGACCTGAGCTGTGCTGGTTGATTTGTGAATCGGTGGGAACTTTGCACTCTCTTTGATGCCAGCCATTTTTAGCAGAAGGGGTGCATCTTCCTTCAACGTTTCATAGTGGCCAATAAAATCGTAGTCGATAACACACGGATGACAGATCTTCTCGTATTGTCGCCAATGTTGGTTTCGCGTTTTGTTGTCGGAAAAGTACTGAATGAATTCTGGGAAGCCAACGAAATTTTTTCCGTCAGGATCATACCTTTCAGGTCGAAATTCTTTCACTATTTCTTTGCGGATATCTTTGGTGTAACCAGGGGTCTGTAAAAACTTGCTTTTGTAGGCCGAAACCATGCGGTGTAACGGTTCACGAACAAACATGAATTTGAAATAAGTTTTTAGTCGTGTCTTCCGTTCTTCTTCAGTGTAATTAGTCAAGCGTTTCCACATAACCCAGCGGTTGATACGTGGATTATTTCCCCGAGGCCGAGCCAATACACTTTTCCACGTGG